TATTTGCGTGACCCCTGTACTGGTGAATATGAGCAATAGGAAAAAAGCTTCTGATGCAAAAGTTGCATAATTTCTTCGTATCATCTTCCAGAATAGGCTACTTGCATCAAATTTTTTTATTGCTGATTTCGATAGTCCATAAGTTAACACGTGTTTTTTCTTTTTCTTCTTAGTCCAAAATTGACGGAGATACAACACTATGAATCTGCCTATGACGTCACTTATCTAATAAATAAGTGACGTTGCACATGCTCAGTATATCTATATATACAAAACTTAATATTTGGATAACTTCCGGAATAATCATATTTGGGCGAAATAAAAAAAAAGTAACGATTTTTTTTCGATTACCTACAGTTTGCAATAAACAATAATCAATAGTAATATAACTAGTGCAATGGAAATTATTGATAATTTTTGGGAAATTTGCCCGAATGCATTTTTAGTCAATTTAATTTTCCATGCAAGTACCCTATTGACATACAAACCAATGGGCATCCCAAAATCTGAAAATATAGAAATTTAAGTATGTACTTATGTATTTTAATTTTAAATGACGCTTATTGTATATTGTACTATCTTTGAAATGCTCCTTAAATCCTGTTTCCATAAATATATAATATTTCTATGTTCGTTCCAGCTGTTTTTGAACTATCAACGTCCAAAGTTTCTAAAACAAGCCACGACAGGAAATTAGATTTGATGCAGTGGCGGTCCATACATGATTTTCTGGGGGGGTAATGGATGACGGGAAAATCATCAAGTGTCGCAAAGTACCGCCAGAGGCGAAATTTTTTTGGGGTGCCACGCCCAAATTTTTAACCGAAAGTCGTTTAAAAAACACGCTTCGGGCAAAAAAGTATCCCACTTAAGTGCGGACGATATCTCCTTACAGGGTGATGCAAGAAAAAAAAAATAAAAAATTACAAAGTTCTTTGATTGTCTAAGGTGCATTAGTTAAAAATATTTTTAAATATACCAGGGTGTAAATGGGGTATGCAAAAGAACTTTGTTATTTTTAAATGGAACAACCTATATTTAGTACTTTAATGGATCGTTATAGAAATTCTACATATTTTTTCAAAAAATCGGATTTTGCATGTGTCAACAAAAACTAACATCATTCATTGGAGATTCTATAAGATAAAGCTTTTGCAGATTGTTAGTACATACTTACATTTACTTCATGGTCCTATAAAAATCTGATAACATTCTACAGGGTGTTCGCGATACTCTACACAAAACGAGACATTTCAAACAACCTTAGCTATTTTTTTTTTCAAATGGAATACCCTCTATCTCACTGCATATTAGTAGGTATATGTCGGTACTGGTAGGTGAGCCACATCATATTTATACGATGGCTTTAATGCTCTCCTTTGTAGAACTTGTCTTGTTGAAATTTTGTTGCAATTATCAAATGTATAGAAAAAAATCTTTGTCTGGGGGGGGGGGGGTAATTACCCCCTGTACCCCCCCTTTAAACCGCCCTTGATTTGATGCCTTGGCTGGTTTCCTTGCCTCGGCTATAAAACACTAGGTGCGGCATTGAATCTTGTGCTTTTCTACCTAGTGAAACAAAACCATTTAACAAAAATATATCGATGAAAAAAATAACAACTTGATTTGAGATTGGGTATACTTACTTTTAGAGACTTCAGTATTCCTTAGAAATTCTGAGGAGCTCTTTCTTGACGCTCTTGTCTTTCACGTTCTTCCCGGATGACATTAAAATTTGTAGGTCATTTCTTTCGCATTTTCATTTTGAGACTAGACTGTCTCCGAGCAAGGCATCAAAGTCCTACCTACATAATAGGTATACATATTATAGAGGTAATAGAGATATACAACTTACCTTTTAGAAAAAACCGGCGACAGGTATAACCGACTTTCTATTTAACACCTCGAACAACACAAGACGGAAAAAACCGATTAGAACGAATTATGTAGCAATGCATCCAGAAAATAGAAATGTAATTATTCTTATTTTGACATATTTTTCTACGTCGTTCCCCGACTGCAGCTACCTTTGCGCATGTGCTTAGGAACTGTGTACATTAATGCCATGAACTGTTTCATTGTATTTATGATTTATCTTGATCTAATGGTTGCAGCTTTGTTTCTAGGAATATTTGCTTGTTTTAAATGAACCGTACATTGTATCAATCAATTTCGTTCTTAAAAGGATAAGTTTCTAGTAAGGCCATATGAACCATATTCATATTATTCATATTATTATTAATTTATATTTTGAATATTCCGTGAAAGCTCCATCAAAGAAATTTTCTTTAATATCAAGGTTTAATTTCATAATATCATCAATGAACTTAGTTCGTGTAACCGATACACTATTCAACATAGATTCATGTAGATGACTATTCATAACTTACTGAAGCTTCATTCTTTATTCTAATGATAACTGTTCATGAAATCATAATACTTATAGTTTTCTGTACCTACTTAGGATTATTGAAAATTTCACTAAATCAATGAAAATGTAATTGATGAAAGCAGCTCATTGATATTATGATGAAGATTTTTTTGAGTGAGTCTTACATCAGACATAACTTCTCTGATTTGATTCAACAAGAAATTAACTTATCCATACTTTTATCACAACAGAAAATTGTCATTCAATATGCGCTCCGTTTACCACGTGCCACGTGGACTGCGCTAAATCAAAAGTAATCAGAACTTTCGATACTGATCGGCATTACACAAGTTACTTACTTTATAATGTGCATTCTCCGTCCTTGGAAACTTTGATCAGTTCTTTATAGAAAACGGCATGATTGTTACGGTTACCCCATAAAGTTATCAACAGGTATTGCTAATTGCGATGCTTTCAACTCAACAACAACTTCGAAGATTTTTGCACAATATGGTTTCAGCTGGACGCAACCATTTCCGAAACTGCCAGCCAAGGGAGTCTGTGGCAAGTCTCTGAAGAATGTTCTTCGTCGTATCAACTGGAAATTTCGGTCAAAGGGTCTATCTTGGATTTTTTTCCAAACTTCAAAGTGTTCGATAGAATCGATCGCAAACTGTCACAATTGAAGATGATATTCTTCCTTCAGAGAATAACGGAAGCCCAATTGAAACTTTGCAACCGTTGAAGCAAAATATTCAAGGGTTTTGTCACTCTTTTTCCAAAAACTTTTTACCAGCACGCTTTGATTCTAGCATAAGTAAGTAAGTTGAATTAAAAGATAGTCCAAAATAATAATTTATAATGGTGGATAAATTATGCATTAGCAAATAATCGATGTTTTTTTTTCCAAGGGCAATCCATTTTTATTATCAATTTTAGTTTTACCCATTTTGGTGATATGTTTTATCATTGATGTATAATACCTAATGAATAAGTTATTATAACCTTTGTTACAGGACACTGACATCCAACATCCAACTTAATATTTTCTTGCTTATTACATAGGTAGCCTCCTATTTGACAAATATATTAAACCAATTAATATACAGCAGATAAATTGAATACACATAATTAAATTAATAAAGTGAATGAAACAAACAAAAACAAATGTATGTCTATTAAGGCCTCCCAATAATTAATTCCGATGTGGCATATATTTTTAATTAGCATAGCAGCATGTATACCTATAATAATAATTGACGCAGAGAAGTTTGCGAGGCATCCAATTTCATTAATTCGGTTTGTCTGACGTCAAACGTTGTTGTGCATTTTTTTGCCCTGATGTTTTATTTTGAAAACTAGATAGGTAGGTGCTTCTGTTACACTCTTCAGTAGTGTATCATTTTGTAGGTAAATTTTAGTAGTTATTTTGGTGCTGTGTGCGAAGAATAACTTTGCGTGAATAGTTTTTCGTGAATGTGACAATAAAGCTTCTTGAGCTTGATTTAAAGGTAAATAGGTACCTGCTTTATGTATTAGTTTAAATAGTTTTCTGTACATTTTTGCTTTTTTTTTATTAATCAGTAATTCAGAGAAGTGATGCTTGGTAATTTCTGTATCTTGTAATAAAGGAAGGGTACTTACTACTTGTTTCCAGATAGGTATGCCTCCAAACGATAAATTGCAAAGTTGCTTTTTCTGTTAATTATTTCCCATTTTTAAAGGTGTTTTTTTTTCGATCTTCATCAGAATAGGAGATATGGATCACCGCGCGCTTAATAACTCCACCCGGTATAGGTACAATAAACTCTCCAGTAATTATTGTAGCTCAAGTACCTAATAAATGACTCTAAACAATTCCTAGGGACTTCTCATGCGGGGTTGGCAGATTATGCACAATTTACCCTTTTTGATTTTTTTTACTTTATACGGCTCGACAATTCCAATATCATGTTGCACCAAAAAGTAAGCTAGCTCGTATCTTGCGAAAAAATAGCTATTTACTAAATTTTAGGCAGATTCAACCAGTATTCCGGCATTGAATCTTATATTGTGTCCCTACATTTTGGTGATCCCTCCCTGATGTCCACCAGAAGTTTCGAGAATGGAATTAAACGTTGATGGAATAAGTTAGCGAATTACGGAATGATCGAGAACCTGATCTCTATTGGAATTCCTTCCCTCTATCGGAAGGAAATTATCTAAAAACTTGCAGAAATATCGGAGTGGTATATGGCCAAGTTAGGGAGAGCAGTTGGTCATTTAGAATGATTATAGTGATGCATTTTTGGAATTTCAATAAACTATACATGAATAACACTGTTTCTGAAATTTGACTGGCCATTCCATAAATTAATCAATAAAGAATAGGTAGATAAAAAAAAATTATTTCAATATATATTTCAATATATCTGCATCGAGATAATGCATCTCTTATTTTACATTAAATTCGTGACATTTCCCTTAAAAAATATGTTCTTTGTTACACGCACTAATTCCCCAATGTTTAAACAAACACACTCAAATAATAATATCTGATAAACACGATAAGGCAAACTCACAAACATAAAAACCACCATTTATCCATTAATCCATATGGCAGTTTTGTTTGGAACGTTTTCGACAGAGCACACACATTTTACGGTTTATTTTTAGACATCTGTCGAAGGTTCAGTTTTAGTAATTTATGTTTTTAATTTTGCGGTTTCATTAGTTGAAAAGTTGCTGTACGTTACAAGTGCGCTTGAAAATGAATTTTTTGGGAAAGATCGATTGGTTTGGGCGACGTAGAAATGTGAGTGTATGTTATGTTAATAATGATAATAAAGGATGTTCCATGTTTCAAGAATATAAAAATAGCGTATATTGGATTTATCATATTTTATTTCCAGATTAAAGTGGATTTCAATCTTTTTCAATATTAATATTGAAATTATATTATGTATATTCTTATAAATATTTCAATTTAATGTAGGTACCTACCTAATTTATAGGTAGGTAATCTACTTGGAAGGTAAAGTTTTGGAGAGAAATAATGTAGGTATAGTATTTACTTACTGACTTACTGATATGTAATATAATCTATACAGGTATAGTATTTACAAAGTCAGTTGAAACAATTGAGGTAAAGGTAATTTGCAACTGGTGGCTGACTGGTGCCAGTGCATTTCTTATGAAAATATTCAGTCACGAGTTGTAATTACCTTTACCTTGTTTCAACTGACTTTGTAAATACTATTATAATATACCTATATAGATTATATTTTCCTTCAAACTCTAGAACAATGATTTGTATTCGTTTATTTGGGATTAAAAAATATGTAGCTACATACTTATATTTATTTTTCAGTATGTAGACTGCTATACTAATAGTTTTAACGTTGAGTTATGGAACTTGAATGTTTTACATTGTCCAAAATAAAAGGGGTGGATGGAGCCGAATTATGAAGGTGAGACAAATTCCAAATGCGTGTAGTGATCTCTACTGACTCATATAGGGTGGCGTTCTCGTAAATGTAGCACATCAGGTTGTTATAATAATATCTAGAATCTATGCGGCGACTTTCTACATCACGGTCAATATTTCTCAGGGCTGGATCAGATCAGTAGAGTTAATGCAGAGCTTCTAGACCAATATCTAGGTGATCATTCCTTTCCCTAACCCCTATTAATTAGTAGGTATAGTTTAACCATTATTAATTGAAACTTCATAGAAAAGGCAACTCAGTTGATCTCTTTGAAGTCAGGTGGGAATCCATAGGCGTCTAAATATTATTATCATGACAAATGAAAACAAATTGGTTAATAAAGAATAAACATACTCCAGATATTTCTATAAAAACTGAAATGACGAACGCCATTGCCCCGAAATTCTAGCTGATTTACTTCTAGAATACAGTGGAGTTAATATTTTAAATAAATGGGCAAAATTCATATAGTAGGTAATCCTTAAAATTCCGTTTTAAGCTATTGAAATAATTCAAATATATAAATATTTGACTGGGAATATTATTCCTTTATTAAGAATTCAAAATTGAAATTGATTTTTATTCAATTATCTGTGTAATTTTATACTTTTGTCCACTTCTAAAGAGAATATCTCACATTGTCAACAAGAGCGGCTCAGCTTTGTCGGCATGCGATAAAGCCCAGCGGCATCCCCGACAATTTTCAAGTTTTTTTGCCGGCGTGCGGTGTCTTTGTTATAGTGTACCAGGACTAGGCATAAAAACATAAAAATTATGTTTTCTACTGACATTTCATAATAAACACTTTTCGATTGTCATTTTAGTTTTAAAACGACATTCTTTTAAGCACTGAGTGCGTGAAAGTTACTTTTAAGCACTCAGTGCGTAAAAGTGACTTTTGAATGCGTAAAAGTGACTTCTAGGTGCGTAAAAGTGATTTTTAAGCACTAGTGCCTAAAAGTGTTCAGAAATAAAAAACACACTAACCACAGATTTGAATTTTGTTCTGTATTTATTATGAATATTAAAAATTAAATTATTGAATTGAACGTTTTGGTTACTCAAAACAGAACTTTTTGTATTTACCTACTTTCTAGGATTTTAATTATTGATGTCGAATCTTGAAAAAAAATCGCATGAAAAGTTTCAGGTGTCAAGCAAAAGCAGGTAACAATGATTTTGGGCGTAATCGGCTTATTCACATAAAATAAAATTGTGTTTTTTTATTATGAAAAGCCAGCGGAAAAAATCTTGTATACAATACGTTACGGAACGATGTCTTTTAGTCACTCGACGTGTTGTCCAACTCGGCTTTGCCTCGTTGGACAATTTTCACGTCGCGTGCCTAAAGACGCCCATTTCGTAACTTATTGTATAAATAGCTATTATATTATTATAAGGCGTATTTTTCTAATTTTGAGTAGTCACCATAGAGATGCGATTTTCAATTGATAATGGTAATACTTTACCCAACACTCCACACTCCTAATTGTAATTATCACATTGAACCACAATCTTTTCTTTTTGGACTAAACACTCTCCAGCCATTAGTATCCCTTTGTATAAGACCTTCCAAGCGCTCAATGCTCAATAGAAACAATTTGAAGATCTGAAACTGCTTCCACTATTGCTAGACACTATTAGCTTTTGTTAATCAACTCAATGACAAACATATCAATCAATTTATTCGATTTCAATAGGAAACACTAATATAATAAACATTATTAAAAAAAATAAATAACAAAATAGTATATTGTTGTATTAAGGCCGGGACACATCTATCAGCGTTCCCAGGAGAACGCCTGGGAACACTGCTCTCTGTTCCAAGAATAAGGACCCTGATTGTATGATCTGAGTCGGATCGGAAGAATGTATGATAGATGTGTCCCGGGCTTTAGGAGTAGAAGCTTCACTTTTTTGTGCTGAAGCAGTAGTGAGGCTTGCAATGCTGCTGAAGCACAAAAAAGTGCTTCTACTCCGTATGCAACACGATATTTTTCCTCCAAACGAATGGGGTAAGCTCGAGGGCAAGTGAATGGTTGAGCGGCAGTAAAAGTACGAGCGGCACTAAAAGTACTTTTACTGCCGCTGGGGTTGCCAAACAGCATAGAAATTAAATTTTTACCATCTCGGCAGGTGTTAGCCCGCTGGATTTGCCTAGCAGCATAGAAATGAAATTTCTGACATCTTGACAGGGGTTGACAAAGTGACGTTTTTTTGACGTTTGGAGAAAAAAGATATAACTTAAAATTAGAAAATTAGAATCTAACCTAAAATTCAACAACGGCCTTCTTTAAATCACATTTAGTTGCTATATAAAGTCCGTTGATTTTAATCTGATACTCCAAAGAAATGTGAGTTGGTGGCACTCTACATTAGAACGCCAATGGTCACCTGACGTCACACCTGTTTTTGCCATATGGTTCACCCCCTCGCTCCTCATACGGAAAGTGTCAGATTAAAAACGACGGACAATTAATATATGGTTTATCATGAAACATTAATTAAAGTGCCACAATATATTCACTAAGACGTTTTTTAAATACACTTATGGAACTAGAGTTTTTTAACAAGAGGAGGTAATTTGTTGTAATAATCTATTCCTTTATAAAAAAGCATTTTGTTTGTGTTTAAAAGGTTGCACCTTGGAACATGGTACCTAACTACGATTTGAATAGATTCTAGTTAAGTGATGGTGTATATCAGGATTGGACGTACTTCTGGAAGTGGGCCGGGAAATTTCAGTCTAGCGGCCCATACATTGATCGATTCATGTGGCACATTATTACCCCTAGATATGATCTAATAATATTTAAGTTCATTATCACCAGCGCATCTGAATTTTCCATTATAAGTCGATTCCTTCATCGATTTCTTAGCTATTTAAGTGCTGAAAACTGCAAACCATTTTTCGAACCCTACTTGTGTGCAGGCTAAAGTGAGGACGTGCTGGTAGACTTTAAAGATGACTCTTAATAAACATGGATGTGAAATCGGTATTTACTTATAGAAAACTAAACCACAGATCACCTAAATACAGATGCGTAAGTAAGTATCCTTACCGTCGACGATTCAAAGCTGCGAAAGCAGGACAGCCGGCTCCCTTACCGCATGTCACAAATCGTCTGTATAGCCGATCATTTATAGTGCATGTTCCAGCCTGTTGTGTTTACATAATATAACCTTGAACCACGAATTCACCGCTTTTTCGGATCTGTATGCTGGTGATCTGTGACCAAACATTGTTTGCAGCGTAAATGTGAAGAACATTTAGAAAGTTCTGATTCATTCCCTGTATCATCTTTATCTTTATCGTTAAATTCAGGAAGGTCATACCGTCCTTTTCAAGTTGAACCAAATCCTAGCGATAGTAATGACATTAAATAACCTGAATTGTAAACAAACACCAGCTGGTAATTCAGCCTTCCTATTCATTGGAACGCCCTACCAGGGGTGCGATTTTCGAAACCATTGGAGTACATTTCGTACACGAAATTTGAGTGACAGCAATGTAAATTAAATGGGGAGCACTCAAATTTCGTGTAGGAAATGTACTCGAATGGTTTCGAAAATCGCACCCCAGGACCAGTGCGCATGCATGTAGGACATTTGATAGGTTGTATAATGAGAATGACCAGTTAAGTCATTACTGCCGCTTGGATTTGGATCAACTATAGGTACCTACCTGATTTTATTCAAAGCAGTGTCTGGCATTAGTTCGGAAAAATTATTTGTATCCAAACCTACAAAATCAGCACAAATATCTCATGTCTCAAATAAGATGCCCCTTTTTTTGTTATAATGCGATCCATGGCCACATCGTGTGATATTCCACCTCCAATTTAAAACAGCAGTAGCTGGAGGAGTATCATCTCTGCTACCTCCCTTGGCATCTTCTTTTATCTTTTTTCCACGGGGACGAATTGCTGGTAATAAGGTTTTGAATTATAACGTCATTTTTATTTGCTTCCAGTCCTGTATCAGCCCAACTGGAACACATTTTAGCACTGTTTATTACTTCTTCCATTTCGTGTTGTTCCTTTTTCAGTGCATCATAAGTTGAATTGACCATTCTTTGTGCTTTCGATTTGTTCTCACAGAAATCACAAACCAGTCAGACTCAAAGACAATTTCATTCGTTGAAAATAGTCAGAAAACTGTATGTATCTAAAATGCTCTGACTGGTTTGTGATTTTTGTAAGAACAAACCCTATTGAAGCTGCTGTTTGATGGTAACTTGTTAAAGGTTCTGTGGTTTCAAAGATCGGCCCAGTGGCGTAGCCAAACCAAACGTGGACGTCGGCGACATCCAAATTGCGAGGCCCTT